GTTGGCAGCGTACATCTTGCTATACAGAAAAGGGAACATTTCAGATTTCACATCGATCATGTGAGACTTATGACAGGTAATGGTCCACCCTGCATGAGTGGGAGTCAATCAATATATATAAAATACTCCCACCACAAGTGTACAATAAGAGTGGTAATGACAAAGAAATTAATTATACTTATCTATGAATAGAACAGCTTCCCTCAGATTACCTCCCAGGTAGTAATCTTAATAGCCAAAAATGTATACCCATATAAAGAGGGATACAGCTGATAGAACCTAGAAGAATCAAAATACACGGAACATAGTGTGATTCAGTAAAATGAAATTCTAAGTGCTTAATTGGATGCACACACAGAATTTATGAGAAACAAACGCTTCAAAGGTGCCTCCCCAGATGAAGATAGGGGGCTCCAAATCCCTTCTTGGGTCTTTATGCACCACCTTCAATCAGGACTACGAGTGGTATGTATATCAAAAGCAGCTTTATTCACATAGATACAGTCAGTATAAAATAATTGGTAAAAATTAATGAAAGGCAATGGGTCCTACACATTTCATCCTCTATATGGGGACTTCCTCAGGGACCTTAAAATTAGTGATAATCACAGAATGATGAATTTTTTTCAAATTGCATTTATCACATTAATTTTGCATTATATATATTCACATTACTCTTACTGCACATTAATGAAATACACTGTGACAAACTCCCCTTTTCAAGTGAGTTTGCCACAAGTTCTTGGAGGGGACAACTTGCCAGCCTTTTACCCTGTGACTATGGACCCTGCAATAGAACTGGCTAAAATACTTTAAACCAAATGGGACTATTTGGTTTGTTTATCGAACAACCGCACGAACAGAGACCACCCTGGAGCTTTTTAACACCTATTAACAACTTGGAAAGTTTCTCACCACAGTGTTCTGTTTGTTCGTCAGGGTGGCCGCGATTCCTATAAACAACCACGAGGTGGCAGCCATCTTGTTCTCTTGGATGCAGGCAGTGGTGTTTGGGCATGAATCTCCTGGAACTAAAATCAGATACAGAAACTCCCGAACACCGCTGGACTTCTGTCATCGCCTGCATTCGTTTCTATTCAGCTAAGGGCACTGTTCGGTGAGATCATTTGTCTGGATGAAGGGAACAAGCTCCAGGGTAAGACTATTGACTCCGTTCGGTAGTTTGTTTGTTTGTATGTTCATTTGCAAACTACCGAAGTAGACCGGCCGCATGCCCTGATTCTCTGGAACTGTTTTGGGCATGAATTCATGCGTGCGGTCGGTCAAAAGAGACTTCCAGGAATTTCCTAAACCCCTGCTCTGATCTGGGTGATTTTTGGGATATGTTGTTCACCCAGATCAGGGCTATCAGGGAATGTAATATTTATGGGGATATGTTATGTTTTGGGGTGTTTTCTGTACTTTGTGGAAAATGTGTGGTTTTCTGCCTGTGGATAATTAGGTTACTTTATTAACTACTTTAATTATATTACAGGCAGAGGGGAGGGATGTTTACTGTATATAGGAGAGTTGTATTGTTAATTACTGTTTTTATTGATCTACGTCCCTTGTGTCCCTGTCCTCCATCAGGTCCAGTGGGTGTGCCTCTGGCCTGAAAAACTGTATAAAAATCCAATCTGTGCCATTAAACTTGAGATTCCTGCTTACACTCCAAAACTGTGTGTTGTCCTGTTATTGGAGGGAAAGAAGATTTGCTCCTGTGTCTGCTGTTCCAACAGGAGATTCAACGGGGAAAGTCCTTGTAAGGACTAGAGCTAATTCCCCATTTGGTTCCAAAGTTCCCAGGACTAAGTGTTGTCCAGTGCCTGGAGGTGTGAGAGATAACTCTCCAGGAAGGAGCGGTTCCAGCGCCCCAGCCAAGCCACGGCGACTGAGAGCCAGAGTGCTGAGGTTTTACCCACTGTTCCAGCTAGGAAGCGGTCCTTTGGCAGAGGTACTCAGTCGGGGTGCCAGGTGATCTGTTACATACAATTTAGCTTATTTAGCACTAGCACTATTTGACGTAGTGGTGGGCTTAACACAATATGATCATATAGTGCAACTGAATCCCCATATTTGTTTGCTGAGATAGCTGATTAGAAGTAGCCTGATAAGATTTAATAAATTTATTTTTATGTGTGCGCTGTTCCTTAATCTATTCTAGTAGCTGGCTTGAAAATCAATAAAAAGTCAATTAATTGTGGATCCAAAAGTAACTACAGTGATAAACAAATTAATGTTCCGCCTGAAGTACATGAGTGCTATATACTACTGGGCATACTACAGGGAAACACTCAAAGCACTATAACCACTTTAACACGCTCTAGTAGTTATGGTTTCAGGTGTGCCCTGGGGTCCACTGTTCCCTGCCTCCCTGACCAGGAACATCAGGCACTCACTGAACTAAGGTAGAGGACGGGAGCGGTGTGCGGCAGACCATAGCTAAGAAGGTTAACTGTTCTAAAGCTCCTGACACCATAAAGATTGCGGTGGGCTGTAGTAGTTATGGTGCTTTAATCAGCATGGATAATGATTTGGTGTCAAGGAAAACACGCTAGATCTGACAGAGCTACATGTACCTTTGTTCAAAAAGCTTCACGTTGTTTATTGAATGTAGTTATAAAAAATCTTTGTCAGCCCAGGTAAGGTCAGCTACAATTTCAGCTGGCTCAGGATAATGAGAATAGTAGTCAGAAGCACCTGGTCTGCAAATATCTATGTTTTAATTTGTTTTATTCCTGATGGTTATTCTGTGTTCTATAGTGAATCATAAGCAAATTCTGCATCTAAAAAGATATATCACCTGCTATAAATAAACAGTTTTCAGCTGCCCGCAATCAGACACCTAAGTAGGTAACTTTTCAAATAGAAAGCGCTGATCAAGCAGAACACAAATATACCTTCAACATCTGCTCCGGTTCCTTTTGACTAGGTAATAGAAAATACAGTATGGGTGGCAGAAATTTGTGAAAATACTCTAACAGACACACAACGAACTAGAACACAGATCATGATCTAATCAGCTGAGAAACAATTCAAACAGAAACAATCAACACAGAAACAGAAAAACGAGTGTGACCAGGCCAACCGTCCAGCGACCAACATAATCCCACTAGACAACAGCTGGCCGCTATCAGATTCACAAGAAGAAGAAGACTGAAGAATGATGATAAGAGGAGTACAAATGAATTTCGAGTAATAGATTTTCTAAAGTTTTTTTCAATTTTTGTTCAGACATAAGAGTTAAAGGATAACTATATGGTCAGGAACACAAACATGTATTCCTGACCCTGTAGTGTTAAAACCATTATATAGCCCCCCTTGGCTCCTCATGCCTCCAGAAATATAGCAAAATCTTACTGTATTCAAACCTGAAGCTGTAAGTCTGCATGCTGTTAGACACAGAAAAACAAACAGTCTGCTGACATCATAGAAACATAGAAACATAGAATGTGACGGCAGATAAGAACCATTCGGCCCATCTAGTCTGCCCAATTTTCTAAATACTTTTATTAGTCCCTAGTCTTATCTTATAGTTAGGATAGCCTTATGCCTATCCCACGCATGCTTAAACTCCTTTACTGTGTTAACCTCTACCACTTCAGCTGGAAGGCTATTCCATGCATCCACTACCCTCTCAGTAAAGTAATACTTCCTGATATTATTTTTAAACCTTTGTCCCTCTAATTTAAGACTATGTCCTCTTGTTGTGGTAGTTTTTCTTCTTTTAAATATAGTCTCCTCCTTTACTGTGTTGATTCCCTTTATATATTTAAATGTTTCTATCATATCCCCCCTGTCTCGTCTTTCCTCCAAGCTATACATGTTAAGATCCTTTAACCTTTCCTGGTAAGTTTTATCCCGCAATCCATGAACCAGTTTAGTAGCCCTTCTCTGAACCCTCTCTAAGGTATCAATATCCTTCTGAAGATACGGTATCCAGTACTGTGTACAATACTCCAAGTGAGGTCTCACCAGTGTTCTGTACAATGGCATGAGCACTTCCCTATTTCTACTGCTAATACCTCTCCCTATACAACCAAGCATTCTGCTAGCATTTCCTGCTGTTCTATTACATTGTCTGCCTACCTTTAAGTCATCAGAAATAATCACCCCTAAATCCCTTTCCTCATATGTTGAGGTTAGAACTCTATCAAATATTCTGTACTCTGCCCTTGGGTTTTTACGTCCAAGATGCATTATCTTGCACTTATCCACATTAAATGTCAGTTGCCACAATTCTGACCATTTTTCTAGTTTACCTAAATCATTTGTCATTTGGCTTATCCCTCCTGGAACATCAACCCTGTTACATATCTTAGTATCATCAGCAAAAAGACATACCTTACCATCAAGACCTTCTGCAATATCACTAATAAAAATATTAAAGAGAATGGGTCCAAGTACAGATCCCTGAGGTACCCCACTGGTGACAAGTCCAAGCTTCAATATATTCCATTAACTACAACCCTCTGTTGCCTGTCACTCAGCCACTGCCTTACCCATTCAACAATATTGGAATCCAAACTTAAAGATTGCAGTTTATTGATAAGCCTTCTATGTGCAACAGTGTCAAAAGCCTTACTGAAATCTAGGTAAGCAATGTCTACTGCACCACCCTGATCTATAATTTTAGTTACCCAATCAAAAAAATCAATAAGATTAGTTTGGCATGATCTCCCTGAAGTAAACCCATGTTGTCTCTGATCTTGAAATCCATGTGTTTTTAGATGTTCAACAATCCTATCCTTTAACATGGTTTCCATCACTTTCCCCACTACTGAAGTAAGGCTTACTGGCCTATAGTTGCCCGACTCCTCCCTATTACCTTTCTTGTAAATGGGCACAACATTCGCTAACTTCCAATCTTCTGGGACTACTCCTGTTAACAATGATTGGTTAAATAAATCTGTTAATCATCAGAAGTGGTAGTCTGATCCAATCACAATGCTTCCCTATAGGATTGGCTGAGACTGACAAGGAGGCAGATCAGGGGCAGAGCCAGCAGGATTCAAACACAGCCCTGGCCAATCAGCATCTCCTCATAGAGATGAATTGAATCAAGGAATCTCTATGAGGAAAGTTCAGTGTCTGCATGCAGAGGGAGGAGACACTGAATGTTTGGATGCATTTTAGGCAGCCATGACTCAGGAAGGATCTCTAACAGCTATATGAGGAGTGGCCAGTGGAGGTATACCTAGGCTGCAATGTAAACACTGCATTTTCTCTGAAAATACAGTGTTTACAGCAAAAATCCTGAAGGTAATGATTCTACTCACCACAACAAATTCAATAAGGTGTAGTTGTTCTGGTGACTATAGTGTCCCTTTAAATACATGAAATAAAAGCCAAATACAAAAATTATAGTATAAAATAAGGATACTAGATCCTAAATGTACCAGGAAATAAAATGTGAGATAGCAGCCACAATCGATTCGCAAACAAAACAAATAGAGGAATATACAGCAAAAGCGATGCCCCAAATAGGAAAAAAGGGGCACTTTTAACTAAACAGTGAACTAAGCAAGAAAACATGACAGAGTAGTGTAAAGTAAAAACAATAAAAATGTGACTCTATACAATACTATAAGATATAGATATATTTGATATTCAACATTAACTGATAGTCCATATGGTAGAAAGTCTGTAGCACTGGAGGTGGTGATACCTTGTTGCAAATATGTATCCGCTATCAGGATAGCAAACTCCTGTTACTAAATAGCAGGAGCTGGAATAATCCGAGGCTGATTTGCTATAACCTAGATTTAACAATAGAAAATAGTTATAAATTGTTCTTTAGCAGTACCCTGGGTGTCGTTTTAGCCTTGATAGGCACCCTCCTGTGCATCATGTAGAGCCTGGGTCGGCTCTACATCCTGTGAGTTTTATCCTATATAAGGGATTACTATGTGTATATACAGTTTGCACTAAATTTAATTTTTTTGTCTTTTAGATTGATCCTGTTATTAGTATCTTGCTGGCTGTGCAGTATCTATTTTACTTTTTATGTTATCCATTTCAGCCTATATTCATTCCCAGTTTTTCCACTCTATCTGGACAGGTTATTCCTGTCCTTACCTATCTTATCCAAATAAAAAAGTTATCTGCGCCCAAATCCCTATGCATATTTAAATAAATGGAGGTTATTTAGTAACTCCAATGGCTATTAGATATAAGCCCACCTGCCACATCAAGACAAACCTCTTAGGCTGGTCCTACACTGACTATTCACCTTGCTTCCTTCAGCTTCAGGTAAAAAAATCTCTAATGAGACAGAGAGGGGTATTTTTCTAAACCCCTACATACTTATTAACCCTTAATACGGAATACATGGGGTGGGCGGCAACAATGTAACATGGCTGTGTGATACAAAAGTGAATACAAATACACAAAAATAAGTCCTGCGCTCAGACTCCCACTACTCCTGAGTGGCAGCAGCAACCATTCTTTCAAAGGTAATGCAATGCTGGGGAGTGAAGGAGAGACATGTCTGGGTCTCTCTGGAAACCAGCAGAAGAGGTTATCATTCTGAAACCGGACTCTCCTCATCAAAGGCAACTATACAGCATGTAGGTGTCAGCAATTTAGTTGCACACAGTATTTCCTCCACCACTGCTTCAATTATGTTTGATAAAACTGAAAAATCTAGGCCAGTGTGACTTGGAAACTCCTCGGGGAATTTCTTTGTAAGTGAGACATGGTCTCCTATAAGGTGGAGAAAGAAGAGATCAATTAATTAAACTGGGTCAAGGCTGCAGATCCAGAATGATGGGAAAACTGGGGTACCATGACAGAATCTCATTGTATTCCCATGAAGTGGGAAAACATGGGTGAGATATTGTTAGGTCAACATAAATAAAAACGGGACATTTCTACAATAAACTTAACTGTTGTTTCAGTTATACACACATACAATCTGTGTAGCAGTCATGGGTGTATACATATTATAGTCCTCAACTGTATGGAGTCAAAATGGCAGGTCCAAAATGTTCTACATCTGACAAGTAGCCATAACTGCTACCGTGAATAACAGAGTTTGACGAGAGCCATATCTGTTAACATTCTTATTGAGAATACACCGTTTTAATAAAAAAATACCCCTTGTTTTGGGCAAGGACACGTCTTGCTGTTGGATATTGATGAATAACCTGCAGCGGGAAACATGTTTCAGAGAATGTAGGTTGTCCTTCCACTCCGATTTCATGGGAGATTTTTTGCAGGTGTTGCAAAAAAAGTATAATGATAAATCTTCATCATGACAGATTGTTACTTACTTACACTTATCAGCTTGATATAGCATCATACGCACGTGCATGTACCAGTTCCTTTAATCACTATCAGTTATCATGCTAACGCATGCAGGAATTGTGGGTGTTAAGCCAAACAAACGACATTTGCTAGCCTTATTCCCCACCTGGGGAACATCATGAGCACCTGGAGGTCTGTAGACACAGAATTCTCATGCACCCCTCCATCCTCCCCCTACCAAACTAATAAAAAACAATCTCTATTAACAACTATACTTTGAACAACTGGGCAGATATAATGATAGTTAGATATGGATGGACGGACAGACAGACAGACAGATTACACAGGGGGTTATGGGAGGGATATGGGTCTAGTATTGGGTCCCAGGTTTGCTGCATGAATGTTTAATTTTACAGGACATATATATTGATGATATAATTGGTGGAACCAAGTCTATATAATAACCACTATATATATATATACAGGGCCGGACTGGGAAAAAAATTAGGCCCGGGCATTTTTCAATTAGAGCAGCCCCCCCAAAAGGGGGCGGGGCCAGAGAAAGTGAGCATGTTGGTTCAATGCGCAGAGCCCCGCTGAAGAGCTCTAGCATTAGAAAAAGGCCCTGTATTTGTTCTGCGCAGCGCAAGCAAATGTAATAACATGCTTGCGCTGTGTTTGCTTTTAAATTGTCTCTGGTGTCTCCACAAGTGGGATACCAGAGGACAAAAGGGCCAGGAAAGTGTATGGTGCATGTGTTTGGCGCATGCTTGTGGGATTGCCTGTGTGTAGAGTGTGGTGTGGTATTGTGTAAATAGGTAAATTTTGTGGTGTAATATGTGTGGCTAGGGGCTGGAGAGAGTGTGTGTATAGGGGCATAGTGTTATAGGGGATGTAGCGAGTATGTGCATACGGGCAGTAGTGTGTGTGTATAGGTGACGTAGTGTGTGTCACTTATACACACACACTACTGTGTGTAGAGAGGGTGTGTTTAGATAATGTTGTATGTGTTTGCTTACAAGGAATGTAGGGTGTGTGTAGGTGGTGCAGTGTGTGTGTAAGAGATCTAGTGTGTAAAGGACCCAGAGTGTGTATAGAAGATTGTGTGTGTGTGTGTGTGTGTGTGTAGAGGATTAAGAGTGCATATAGGGTAAGGGATCTAGCGTGTATCTGGAGCGTAATGTGTGTAGTGGTGCAGTGTGAGGGGTGCTGTAGTGTGTGTGTGTGTGTGTGTGTATGTATGTATGTATGTATGTATGTATGTATGTATGTATGTATGTATGTATGTATGTATATGTATGTATATATATATATATATATAATCTCAAAAAAACAGGATGCTTGGCACTCTCCTTTAAGTAATAAGAAAGAACTAATAGCCTGGGTGCTATATCCCAAACGTCAGAAATATACAAAAATCAAAACTGAGGATGCACTCACAGGACTTGGTTAAAGTGAAAAAAAGGGACTTTTAATTATTCCATGTGAATGGAAAATTTATTTTTCTGTACATTTCACATGGAATAATTAAAAGTCCCTTTTTTTCACTTTAACCAAGTCCTGTGAGTGCATCCTCAGTTTTGATTTTTGTGTATATATATATATATATATATATATATATATATATATATAAAAAAATATATTTGGACGTATTGTATGTGTGAGGTGCGCAGCGTGTTTGTGTAAGAGGGGTGCTGTGTGTGAGGGTGTTTTTATCTGCCGTCACATTCTGGGTTTCTAATTTTATTTGTCTGTTAACTCACTGAGGTTTTTTTTAATATAATATATGTGCTGTATATGTGTGGGAGTGAGGGTGCTGTCTGTCTGAGGGTGTTGTGTGTGTCTGGGGGTGTGCTGTGTGTGTCTGGGGGTGCGTTGTGTGTGTCTGGGGGTGCGCTGTGTGTCTGTGGGGTGCGCTGTGTGTGTCTGTGGGGTGCTGTGTGTGTCTGTGGGGGGCTGTGTGTGTGTGTGTTTGTGGGGGGGCTGTGTGTGTCTGTGGGGGGCTGTGTGTGTCTGGGGGCCTGTGTGTGTGTCTGGGGTGCTGTGTGTGTCTGGGTGCTGTGTGTGTGTCTGGGGGCTGTGTGTCTGTGGGGTGCTTTGTGTGTGTGTGTCTGGGGGGCTGCCTCGTGTCTGGGGTGCTGTGTGTGTGTCTGGGGTGCTGTGTGTGTGGGGTGCTGTGTGTGTGTGGGGTGCTGTGTGTGTGTCTGGGGTGCTGTGTGTGTGTGGGGTGCTGTGTGTGTCTGGGTGCTGTCTGTCTGAGGGTGTTGTGTGCGTCTGGGGGTGCTGTGTGTGTCTGGGGGTGCGCTGTGTGTGTCTAGGGGTGCGCTGTGTGTGTCTAGGGGTGCGCTGTGTGTGTCTGTGGGGTGCTGTCTGTGTCTGTGGGATGCTGTGTGTGTCTGGGTGCTGTGTGTGTGTGTCTGGGTTGCTGTGTGTGTGTCTGGGTGCTGTGTGTGTGTCTGGGGTTGCTGTGTGTGTGTCTGGGGTTGCTGTGTGTGTGTCTGAGGGTGCTGTTTGTGTGTCTGGGATTGCTGTGTGTGTGTCTGGGGTTGCTGTGTGTGTGTCTGGGGGTGCCGTGTGTGTGTGTGGGGTTGCTGTATGTGTGTCTGGGTGCTGTGTGTGTATCTGGGGGTGCTGTGTGTGTGTCTGAGGGTGCTGTGTGTGTGCCTGGGGTTGCTGTGTGTGTGTCTGGGGGTGCTGTGTGTGTGTGTCTGAGGGTGCTGTGTGTGTGTCTGGGGTTGCTGTGTGTGTGTCTGGAGGTGCTGTGTGTCTGGGTGCTTTGTGTGTCTGGGGCTGTGTGTGTGTGTCTGGGACTGTGTGTGTGTGGGATGCTGTGTGTGTGTCTGGGTGCTGTGTGTGTGTGGGTGCTGTGTGTGTGTGTCCTGGGTGCTTTGTGTGTGTGGGTGCTGTGTGTGTCTGGGGGGCTGTGTGTGTGGGTGCTGTGTGTGTCTGGATTGCTTTGTGTGTCTGGGTGCTGTGTGTGTGTCTGGGGGCTGTGTGTGTGTCTGGGTGCTGTGTGTGTCTGGGTGCTTTGTGTGTC